GAATGTGTGTTATGTTCATTCAGCTGTCAGGTCTTCTGTGTTCGGGCTTACCACGGACTCTGTACTTCGTCAACAATGGATATCATTTATGTTTGATTATGTTCCTGAAAATGAGCTCCCTGTGCTGCGCATTTTAAGAAAAACAGCTTCCAGAATCTCCTCAAATTCAATGCCGAATTTAACAAGAAACTGTTACTAAAACATGAAGCAGGTCCGACTTTGAAACCAGAGGCAGCAGTTGTTGGGACACAACCTGTAAGTAGGCTAAGACTTAATCATTTTAAATGTAGTTGCATGTATAATTTCAGACATTTTAGTTTTATCAAATGCCAGCACTGGCTTTATAGCCACTAGGCTACCAGTTATGCTATTTTGTGTCTACGACAAACGCGTACAAACATTATGGACCTGAATTTTGTATAAGTACTAATGTTGTGTATTTTTCATGTATATATACTGGTGTTATTTTTCGATTTGATAAAGAACGTAAACCAGTGCCAACGCTGTTTGTGTATACTATAGTATTAATAGCCAGTTAGTTCGATGCTGTTTTGTGTAAGACAAACGTGTATAAAGTAAAAAAAAAAATATATAGGCAAATTACCATTCAGAAACGTTTTGTAAGCCATGTTTGGTGAGGTTCTGCTTGCCTCTCTTCATCGCCGCTTTCTGGGTCTGATTCTGGCTCATACTGAAACTGCAGTATCGACACCATTATTTACATTTGACAGGAACACATATGCAAATTCGCCCGTAAAGGTAATGGGCGTTAAGTATCCGGACAACGTGCACTACTCAGTTTAGCCAATCACAACACACCAGCCCAAACTAACCAATCTGAGCCCACTGTCTGTTTCTGAGGGAGTGGTTTCATAGACTCAGGAAGTCGACCGCTCGTTCAAATGACAGAGGAGAAAGCGGCTTACAATAAAGGTGAAGTTTATGAAAAATAAGACTTTAAAAAAAGAAAAACCACAAATAAATGTTATATTGCACCACATAAACACAATCATGCAAAGAAAAAAAGCAGTAAACCACCACTTTAACAAAAATCTTGACCATGGCTGTATAGGCTACTAGCGTTCGTGAGACTAGCGCCCCATTTCACTGAGTATACGCTAATGATAATTGACATTCAACACAAAGAAATAGGCTACACGAAATAGAAACCAAATGAATGTAATGAAGGCAGGTTCCAGTGTAGGCTAATACACAATCCTCTATTATATCTTGTCTGTATTTGGGAGTAATTTAGTGGTAGTTTGCAGATTATGAGGTTGTCAGTTTAGAAATACACAAATGAGTTTAGAGTCACACAATGTCTCTTTTATTTGTTTAAGTAAAAGCCATTAAGTGTATGTATTGTGAATGGACAGAGTGTGACCCTTTCACAGTGCTAAAAGGATGAAAAAGCAATGAAGTCATAGGATAGCTTTAATGTTTATACATAAAAGTAATCATTTAGATCTCTAACAATATTGAATTCAATATCTCTGTCACTTACTTGCCTAATGGAGAAGATGAGAGAAGTATTACACACTTTTAGCCAACAGTGCGTTTTTTAAAAGAACATGATTGGTAGGAAACCAGCTAAAATGTATCGACATTTAAGAAGGATATCAACCTTTTAAGAGTGTGTTTACAGACTGTGTTTAGTTGAATGGCTGAGCTCCAGATCAACAATGAAATGGCTACAGATAAAAGAAAAAGGCTAAACTTGAAGTGAAAGAACCGTTTTAGCATAAAAGGCTTTCCCCTCCAGGAAGATAGTTCTAAATAAAACAAAGTGTAATAGAAAAATACTGCTATTTTTAACATTAGCCTACCTGCATAGATTCAACATATTCCTCCTCATCATATTTAAAGTAATCTTGGCTTTTTAGAAGATGATCATATGCATTCATGTACTCCATTACTGACACTTTGCTTCAATTAAAAAAAAAAAAGCTCTTTTAGTTGAATAATTAATTAAAAACATTAGGTTTTTTAATGCATTGAGGACAGAAACAGTCCAAATTGTTCTAAAATTGAGGCTGATATTTAAGTAGATGTTCCCGCTCTGATTGAGGTCACATGCTGTTTGTCCTTCTCATCAGGATTCTGGGTGGAGTGGCTCTTGATGTTCTCCTAGAATCACAAACTGAATTAGCAGAGATGATCAGCGCATTGGCCACAAGACCGCAACTCCTTATTTTTCAGAAACCAAACAGCACTTTACATTTGATGAAGCCCATTCCATTCTCTCTCCCACTTCACTTCCTGACCAATCTACACTCTTATAAATAAAGGTTTTTTTTTCTTTGCAGCGAGGCCACTAAAGAACCATTTTAAGTTCCCTAAATAACCTTTCATGGAACGGTTCTTAAAGAGGCTACATTATTGTCACGTTTTCAAGTTTTCACCTAGTTCACTTTAAAAAAAACTGCTGATAATTTACTCACCCCCATGTCATCCAAGATGTCCATGTCTTTCTTCAGTCGAAAAGAGATTAAGGTTTAAGGAAGCTCCATATAATGGACTTCAATGGGGTCCAAATGAGAGTTTCAGTGCAGCTTCAAAGAGCTTTAAACAACACCAGACGATGAATAAGGGTCTTATCTAGTGAAACGATCGCTCGTTTCAAAATTAAATAAAAACGAAATGCTCACCTTGGTCTGTTCAAGTGACTCGTATCCTGTTCGAACTTGTTCATGAAAATGAACGAATCTTTTTTCGAGTCATTTGGTTCATTCAACGAACGAAATGAACGCAATGACTCGAAAAAAAAAACATTTGTTCTTTTTTACTTTCAAAACTGTAACTTTAATGGTGTTTTACATTATATATATCATAGTTGTTTACCGAATAAGGAAACTTTCTGTTAACCAATTAACAGTTTTTCACTGTAGCATTTTTACCGTTAAAATCACAATAATTTTTTACAGTGTTCCCGATAAACACTTTTATTTCCACGCTGACTGAGTTTCGTCGAATTTGGATCAGAGCTCTAGGAGGAGTATTTCACATTCCATTGCATGCGTTTTACAAACAACCCTCAATAGCCGACTTCCTGTTGGGCTGGGGTAAAAAGTAAGAGTGTGAAGTATATATGAAACGATGAGATCTACATGTGTACCGAGTTTCATATTATTAAATGCAAGCGTGTTTGATTTATGGACCAAGTTTTCGGACCCCGTTCCAGGGGGCGCCCCCTGCCACGCCCGGGTACCATCTTCAGCCCGGCCCTGATGGCCGCGGGTTCTGACCCGTGTGCAAAGTTTCAAGAGTTTTCGAGCACGTTAAGGGCCCCAAAAGTGCCTGAATAGTCGTTAGAAAAATAAAATAAAAATAAAAATAATCGGAAGGAAAACAATAGGGCTCTGCGCCCTTTCAGGGCTTGGGCCCTAATAAATAAAGAAACCTTTTGTGCGATGTAAATGTTCCGGATGTTTAATTAAGTTTCTTCATGGAGCCACAGATGCCAATAAAGAACCTTTATTTTTTATGAGTGAAACTACTGTCCTATCTAAAACAATAACAATAATGAAGAGAAAATGGACCAAAAAAAAGGTTCTGGTAACACAACAGTGGCATTTGTTGCATGGATTTAGGTTTGACCTCTGTGTAAGCCTTCAGACTGCTATAAGATGTCAGTTGCTCTATTATTAGACTGCAACTTAATTGATTTCCAAGTTATGTTATATCCTGTCTTGGTTTGTGCTTCGCTGACATCAACATGCATCCGTGCTGCTTAATAAACAATTGACAGGAAACTCTCTCCAATTAAATGGGATTATCATTTCTAATTCATCTCAACATCTTGTCTAATGGCACTCTTCTGATTTGCTTCTTGGACCTTAGTGCTTTTTGAAAATCCCACACAAAAGAATAGTCAGATTGTATGGTATCTTAAAATAGTAATATTATGTAAGAATTGTCTAACATAATGTTATTTTCACCACTTTCGCCATTATGCTGTGATGCCATTATGCTATCAAAAAGAAAAAAAGAATGCATCAGCTAACAGCATAAAAGCATTTCAATAACTCTTCAACATCTTGCTCATGTGGCCAGGCTGATACACCACACACAGACATTATACTCAGATCCCGATAACAACATGACATTAAGCCATTCCACAAAAAAGGGAACTTTTGTGTCTTTCAGCATGTTTAAATAATGACAATGAAAAGCTATAATTGGATTCCCTTGTTTCATGTAGATGCCTTTCCTGTATATTGTCAATGTATCAATGGCTTGAATTCAATGACAACATTTATATCCTAGTGGAATTTATTTTCGAGGATATCATAACACTCTTTTCAACCAAACATATTCAACCATTAAAATATTACATTAAAACTAATTGAAGAAAATATTCTGATTATAAAACATTAGTGGATAATTTTCTAAGTTAATGCGATTTGAAAAAAAAAAAACACACAGCAGTGGTTCAGAGAGTTGTAAAGAGTCAAAAAAAATGTAAAATTCTGTCATAATGATCATTCCTTTCAGGAAGTGCATGAAACTAAGGAAAATCTTCCTCTCTATTTGAGTAAGGAAGTATCTTAAAGGGATAGTTCACTTTGTAATTAATTTTTGGTATGTTTTAGCTTACCTCATGGGCATCCAAGATGTAGGTGTCTTTGTTTCCAAAGTATTTTGAAAATACAGCTGAAAGTGAAAGTTGAAGTTGGGTTAAAATTTTAAATTACATTTTAACCCAACATTTGGGTTGGTCCATCTTTGACCCAAAGTTGGGTTGAAACAACCCAGCATTTTTAGAGTGTAAGTATAGCTACACTGTAACTAACAATTATTTTTGTATGCAAGTAAATAGAAGTTAATGACACCTAATATAACGAGTGACTGAGAATTTTATAGAAATGTGTTTAAAAAACAAAACAAAACAAAAATTCACCAAATGGCATAGCCTAACGCATATAGACACGATTTCTGCACATTCATTCAAGCTTGTTATGTCGATTCTTGTCGAAACTGACGTCATTTCTCCTGCTGAGGGTGTCGGATAAAGAAGCTGTTTAATTCACTCCAATGTGTGGCTCTTCAACGGAACATGAACTAGCACGCGGTGGGCATGTCTCACACACACTCACACACACACTGAGAGAAGCAGCAGCAACAGCAGGTAAGAATACAGCTCTTTTATTTGTAGTCATTTGTATTATTGTTATTATCATTATATTGTATTATGTATTGTGTAGCTATTATTGTGTTTTTGCATGCGATGTCAATGATGGGGATTAGGGTGTTTACAATGTGAGAATGAACTTGCTAGTGATTGCAAGTCTTTGCGGGAGGCTGTAGGCAGTGAAATAAATGGGTAATAAACTGCATTAATTAATCGACACACACATTCATCCGAGTTTGACAAGTAATAGAGGATATAAAGTGTATTGTGGAATGTTGCGTGACCGTCGAGAAGTTGGACTATTAACACTCACTTCATAGTCGACTACTCCATTATAATCACGCCATTTAATCTGGATTATGCGCGTTAAACGGGAAAAGTTTGGTTTTATTGTTGCATGGTAAAATGATGTACAGTATGAGACAGCTCTCGTTTCATGGTCGTTTAACTTGCGGTTCTTCAAATCAAATAATGTTTCAGGCACAAGCTGTGTTTTGTCTTTAACGTAAGAAATATTACTAACCGTGCTGAAAGGGCTCGATTGGTTCTTGTAGGGAAGTGATGTAGATGTGAGAGGAGCTGTCCATGATCTGTGCTGCTGAACCACGCGCACACTAGGCTACTGGAGCACTTGCTGCCTGATATATTTGCCTACTAGTCTCTTTTGTTTATTAGGTTGAGTCGCTATAATGCATAAAATACACCATTAATGATATTGGTAATGTGATGATGAAATATGACCGCAGGGTACGAATTATAGGGTGTGGGAATTGGCGTCAACACCATAAAGAATTTAAAGACAAAATGTTGGAGGGGGTCTTAAAATTGCATAGTCTTCGGGGTTTATTACAAAGTTACATGACAAGTTAGTTAGAGCGTCTAAAAAGATCCTGAAGAAATCGCATTCGCCTGATCTGGAAGCCATTCACACGGTGGAATAAAAAACAAAACAAAACGCAAGGTCTCGAGACGCGTTTTTGTGAAGCGTCGCGTTTAGAACGCCACGTCTTTCGCAAGATAATGCAAAATAATCTAGCTCATGTTTACAAAAATAAATAAATAAATAAATAATTAGAAAAGTGGGAATGCAAAAACGCATTCTGTGTGCACGCTCCCTTCATTTTTTTGGCAATGGTATTCCCCATTCCCTATATCTTATCCCTCAAATCAGGGGGACTGATGTGATATGATGTAGAAGCACCTTACCTGTAAACTGTAAACCTATCCCTAAAATCTAATTTGTTGATTGGAGACAAAGATGTTGAGCAGGGGCATGTTATTCACCAGTTGCAGTAGTGATTTCAATGATTTACCAACCAACTGGGCAACAAACTTAAAGGGATAGTTCACTTTGAAATTAATTTTTGGTATGTTTTAGCTTACCTCAAGGGCATCCAAGATGTAGGTGTCTTTGTTTCCACAGTTTCAATTTTGATATTTTTAGGTCAAACCGTTCTCATCTGTCAGTCATATAATGCAGGTCTATGGTCACCACCTCAAAGAGCATGCACAGAGAAGTCCAAATTAAATATGATTTAATCACTCGTAAATGTAAGTACACATTGATGGCCTAAGACACGAAACGAGCGGATTGTGTGAGAAAACTGACAGTATTTATATCGTTTTTACCTCTTATAATCACAGTCATGTCCAACTGATCTGAGGGCGATGGTCTGCGCAAGCGCCGGCAGTGATATTTTGCGCGTGTACGTCGCTCATTGTTTACACAGAGATTTCAGAAGTGTTGCCCTTCACTGTGAAAATCGAAACATATTTAGATATACAGGAAATTGTATATCTAAATATAAAAAATATCTAAAAATGATATAAATACTGTTCGTTTTCTGACACAAACCGCTCGTTTTGTGTCTTAGGCCATCAATGTGTTTAATTTGGACTTCTCTGTGCATGCTCTTTGAGGTGGTGACCATAGGCCTCCATTATATGACTGACAGACAAGAACGGTTTGACCTAAAAATATCAAAATTGAAACTACTGTGGAAACAAAGACACCAACATCTTGGATGCCCATGAGCTAAGCTAAAACGTACCAAAAATTAATTTCAAAGTGAACTATCCCTTTAAGCTTCTCTTTACTCTTTAAAATTTCTTGACTGGTGGTTTGTTTTTCTCTATCCTCTGTGCTTTCGTGTTTGTCAATACATCATGCGTCATGTCAGGGGTTACTCTTTCGCTTCGCCTACAGTTCTCACTTTTTTTTCAGTTTAGATGTTCTCTTATTTACCTTGTATTCCCTAATATTCAATGTAAGTCGATATTATTCACTGGATGTTGAAAGTAAATCATTAGAATGCACATCCTGACATTTCTCTCCCGCTTACTTCTTGCTTAGGAGTCTGTGAAGAGGCTGTTAACTGAAGATCTCACCTGGGATTTCCCTGTTGTAATACTAATGGACATCTCTGATTTACAACACCCCATTTGATCCCTTTATATCTGAACCATTCCCAGCAGCCCGTTCTCCTCTAAAGCGAATCAGATATAGAGATGTCTCTCCGTAAAGAGCTTTAAGTCGAACTGACAGATTCTCTCTTTTTCTTTTTTGACATTTCACATCTTTTGCTTTGCGAAGAAACAACACAAGGTCACATTAAAAGGTTGACTCCCTGAATGGGAGAGTCCTGCTTCAATCAAACTGAGGCTTTTAAAGATCGCCCGATTGACAGTGCCATCGCCCATCTCCCGCTGACCCTCCGCACTCAACTTTCTGTCAGGATGAGTGACTCGCAGGAAGCCACGTCCCCAGTGGCAGGCATAGGAGGTCCGGTTGCTTGTGTTTCCAAGGTGGAGCTGCGTGTTTGCTGCAAGTCCCTGCTGGACCGGGACACGCTCAATAAGTCTGACCCCTGCGTCATGCTCATGGTACAGAACCAAGGTCAATGGACTGAAGTGAGTTTTCCTTTTTTTCTCTCCTTATTGTGGCTTGATTAGGTCTTTGCACCATTGGAATATTTATTTTACAGTATTGGATTTGTTATAATATATTCAGTTATAAATACTGGTCAACCAATACATTAATTGTATAAATAACTCACCCTGCAAACCTGTATGAGTTTGTTTCTTCTGAAAAACAAAAATACAGCCATGAAAGGGGGAAAAAGATGCAATGAAACTTAAAGGAGTAAAAAAAAAAAACTCACCCCCTTGTCATCCAAGATGTCAACGTCTTTCTTTCTTCAGTTGAAAAGAAATGAATGTTTTTAATGTAATGGACTCCATATAATGGACTTCAATGGGAACCAAACGGTTTAAGGTCCAAATGAGAGTTTCAGTGCAGCTTCAAAGTGCTTTAAACGACACCAGACGATGAATAAGAGTTTTATTTAGGACCCTTCGAGTCATGACTCTACAAAAGATTTGTTCATTTTGATGAGCGAGTTTGAAAAGGAGAGTCTCGAACGCTCATCACAGAACAGAGCAAGGCGAGCATTTGTGCTTATAAAACTTAAACTTTTTTATTTACTATTGAAATGAGCGATCGTTTCGCTTGATAAGACCCTTATTCATCTGGTGTCGTTTAAAGCCCTTTGAAGGTGCACTAAAACTCTCATTTGGACCTTGAACCGTTTGGTTCCCAATGAAGTCCATTATATGGAGAAAATCCTGGAACCAAAAACCTTAATTTATTTTCGACTGAAGAAAGAATGACATGGACATCTTGGATGACATGGGGGTGAGTAGTGGTGCACGTTCGTGACTCTCCTGTTCGAACTTATTTATCAAAATGAACGAATCTTTTTTCGTGTCATTTGGTTCATTCAACGAACGAAAAGAACGAGTTGACTCGAAAAAAGATTTGTTCATTTCGATGAATAAGTTCGAACAGGAGAGTCAATCGTTTAAAGCCCTTTGAACAGTTTGCAGTTTGTACTGAAAGTGTCTTTTGGACCTTGAACCGTTTGGTTACCAGTAAAGTGCATTATATGGAGAAAAATCTTGGAATGTTTTCATCAAAAACCTTAATTTCTTTTCAACTGAAGAAAGAAAGACATGAATATGTCTATATATAACTAGTTTAAAACAGCTCAGAGTGTTACTTCAGGACCACTATCGTCAAATACGATTGACAATTAGCATACAGTTTAGATTGGCGATATGGTTCAGTTCTGGGCATGAACTCCCTGTGCATCCATGCAGCCAGGAGAGCAACAATAACCCCCCTTAGGACTGAAACAACATGAATGTATTGCAGATATCATAAATGCAATATTTTAAAGTATGACATAATTCGAGAATTTATACTGATCCAAATCCTGACTGGACGAGAGGAGGAGCTGGGGATGGAGGAGGGTAATTAGCTCCTGAGAAACGCGATATATGCTGATAAAACTGAAGGAGTTTCTATATGTTTACAGTGATAGGCATATTCCTATAGGTAGACGTGGAGTCATCTGATGCAAGCTTGACTAACGTGACCTGCCAGAACTGATGTTACGCTTGATATCTGAAGGCTTTGGGTTAAGAAATGTTGGATGGGTATAATTTCGCACAATGCCTTCAGTTGATATCCTGAAAGTACGGCTTGATTGTGAAGGTTGACTGCGAGTGGGGGGAGCGGACACTTTTTGGAATGAATCTTGGCGGGGAATTGTCGCACAGCAGGAAAGGGCGCTTGAAGCAAGGAGAGAGACCACTCGGGTGTTTTTTTCCATATCAAAGCAGTCACTGCGAGGAAAAAAAAAATTATCTGGAGCCACAGCAGTGGTTCTGGAGACAGCTCGGCAAAGCTGCGAAAGTGTCTACAGCAATGTGTCAGGCTGAAGGATGAAATCTTAATCCTGGCCCCATTATTCCAACTACTGTGTCACGTTCAACATCACAGAGAACAAAGTGAGAGATGCCATCCGGCTTCAGCCTGCATTTCAAAAGATTCCTTTTAAAGCAGGGACACGTAAAACAGGAAAATGAAAAAGCCATTGAGACGTCATTTTCCAAGATGTATTTGACAATCAACATGAAAATAAACAAAAAGGAGGAAAAAAAGCTTTTTCGTCAGCGTGGATAAGACAATCATATCAATGAATATTACGGCTGTCAAACGATTAATCGCGATTAATCGCATGCAAAATAAAAGTTTTGTGTTTACATAACATATGTGCACTGTGTATAATTATTTTATATATAAATACACACACATGCTTGTATATATTTAAGAAATATTTTCATGTACACTGTGTTTATATATAATTATATTATATATATATATTTTATATATAAATACATTTTTTTTTGGGTGCAATTAATCGCGATTTATCATTTGACAGCCCTAATAAATACACTGTCTTCATACTGTGTGCCGTAGATTAAGTGTGCAAGTTGTGATGGTTTTAGATGCATTATTGTGAACATGATTAGCTTTCGTTGTGAAGTGGTTGATGATAGTGCTGGTGAGTCACTGGATGAAACGCCATCCAGGGACAAGGGATAGTTCACCCAAAAAATGAAAACACTGTCATCTTTTACTCACTGTCATGTTGTTCCAAACCTGTATGACTTTCTTTGTTCTGCCGAAGACATAAAAGATCTTTATTTTAGCTGTTTTTCCCCATGCAGTCAAAGTTGGTGGGGTCCGAACCCATGGACAGTAGCCACAATTTACTTACTGTATTGTATTGCACTTTTTAGACATTCTACTAGCTATAAGTAACTTTGCATTACATGTCAACTAGCAGCCATTAGAAGGGTAACACTTTACTTGAAGGGGTGTTCATAAGACTGACATGACACCTTCATAACCATGACATGACATTTGTCTTGAATATGAAGTAAGGTTTATGCACGTGTCTTTCACTCAATAATGACATTTTTTGTATTCAAATATGACATTGTTTAAGATGTCTTTGTTATGACATCTTGACATAAATGATAATATCATAACCTGTCAGTGTTTTTGTCATGACAACTTGACATAAAATGAAGTTAAACTGCCATGTGGTTGGCTTTGACATTGGCTGTCATGAGGCCATTATAATGTGTCATGAATATGTTTCGTCACCTCAACTACAGTGCTACTAATTGAATTTGTCATTAAAAAGTTATAATGGCTTCATGACAGCCAATGTCTAAACCAACCACCTGATAAAGTTAACCAATAAAGCTAGGTGTTTTCTTAAGTTTGATGATTAATCTGCTATGTCATGTTTATGACAGGTTGTGTTGTCTTAGTAATCACTGACAGGTTATGATGTATTGGTTTATGTCAAGGTGTCATAACAAAGACATCTCAAACAATGTCATATTTCCATTAAAAATGTTATAACTGAGTGAATGACACTTAATCACAGTTGTCACAAACATGCATAAAATTTCTTTCATATTCATAGCGTCATGTCATGATTATGAAGGTGTCATGTTAGTCTTATGCACACCCCTTCAAGGAAAGTGTTCCCGACTATACGTAACTTTGCAAGTACATGTCAACTAAGTCTACTAATAATCTAATGAGAGTTCGTTGACATGTTAGTTGCAAATTAATGAGAGTTATTTGACATATTGCAAAGTTAAATAGTTAGTGTGAATTATTGAAATAAATCATTGTCATTTATATAGCGCTTTTAATGTAGATTGTTCCAAAGCGGCTTTGCAGTGATAAGTAACAAGGAATTTAATTTTTTGGGGAACTATCCTTTTAATCAACAGTGATCAAAGTGTGTTGTGTAAATATCTGTGAAAAATGAACGTGAAATATTGAGCTTTGGTTTTGGAGAATCCCATTTTTTGAATGCATTTTTTCGGTGAGCATAAAAGATCCATATTTGACAACCTTCCTCGTCTCATATCTCAATGCAAGTTTGTCAAACTAATGACCGCTTTATAGAATGCTATCAGAATATTTATAGACTGCCATATTAGAGATGTTACTGCCATCAATATTCAACACATAGAGAAAATATAGACTCACTGTGAATATAATTTGCATGGTTTTACACTTCAGTCAAAGAGCGGCAGTATTTATGTAATTAATGATTTCGATCTTTTCCCTGACATTAGCTTTTACACATTCCAGATTGCTTTTCAGAAAAACCTAATATTAGACACAGGCATTTCGCCAAAGTCAGCGCAAAACATATATGCAATGCTGTTTTCCTGCCATCGTCATTAGTCCACATAATCTGTCTTGAATGTCTGCCAGACGATTTCAGGGATCTTGCCATGCATGTTTAGGATGTGTCAAATTAGTGTCATTTTGCTTACAGGAGACCCAGCTTCACATATTTTACAGTCCCATCCTATGTATGTTCCCATGTTATTCCCATTACATTACTTCTTAAATGAGTGGAACACGGTCCATGATCATATTATCAGAACGCCCAGAATATGATAAGTAAAACATTAGGCTGTTCTCATGCAAGCAATGAGCGTATGAATTGTTTCTGCTGTACAATTGAATGATCGAAGCAACAGATGTGTTCACCATTGTCCTGTTTTGCTTAAGGTATCCATTTAAATCATAGCTCGATGAACACATTAGGGAGTTTTGTTGAGATGTCAAGTGGTTTGTAAAAAGCTCACCAAATCTCTGACTGCTATCAGTTCTTGTTATCTTCCAAATGCAGTCCCTTCCCAGCAAAAGATTGATGTTGAAACTGCATTTAAAAATACACTGTTTTTAAAATATTACTTAGGGCGCAACATATGAATTCAGTTTGTGTTTATGCACTGCACCGCAGAAAAACTGTTCATAATTGAGTCAAGAAATTCTCCAGAGTAACAAAAATAGATTTTCAGATATCCCTATGCAAAACTCTGTGGTTGCAAAAACATGCTAAGCTGTTGTTAGAGTGTTGCTATGTCACTGCCTGTGTTTTCTAGGCAGCTTCTAGCATGGATATCCGTAGATGCCCCTTTCGACCAATCCAGACACTACAATGTATCCGCCATCTTGGAAC